GCCTAAAGGAAGGAATGCTATGAGGTATAGAGGCGCAGCCCTCCCTGCAACTGGCAATTTGCTGCAACACACATCTTGTTTACTTTCCCAAGACGGTGGATTTGACTCGCTGGTCGTACTGAACGCAAAATCCAAGTGTGTTTTACCACACTGATACAGGAACGTGCAATGCGAAAATTTTGGCAGCTATAGGATTTTCTTTTTAACACATAAGTTAATCAAGTTGGCGGGGAACTGCGCCGTTTGAGCTTCCTTAACAAAGTGCTGTGTATCGTTGTCCCGGCTAATAAGAGCTTTCAGAAGGTAGATAACGAACTATTTTAAAGTTGCACAACCTATGACGCTCTCTCACTTTTCTCATTCCCTTCTCCCCTCTCCAATCACCTCTGAATTTAAAACACAATCTGTAATACGGAATCTAAAAACAGGCGTTGCCAGAAAACCTTACTTATCGAGTATAATTCCGTCAAATTTTCCTCAGGTCTAAATGAAAGAAATAATAAAAAGTTGCCTTGTCTCCCCAAACACCATGCGGCTGTTGCTGCCATTGTTCTGGATGAGTAGTCGTGGACGCCGGGTCCGAATGTGAACCTGTAAGTAGGTTGTTCAATTCTACACGAGAAGACAAACCGCTGCCGTAGTCACTGTAATGTACATGATGGGAGATACCGGTCAGATGAAGAGTGTACGGCTAGTAGTGAAGCTAGCAACTACACTGGCCTAAAAAGCAGCCATTACAACTCCTCGCATTCTTCTGAGCGTCCAGGGGGAGAATATTCCACACTTCGCAAATGATCCTAAAAGCACAGCAACGGTGCAGCTAGAACTTTCGCAAGATCTCTAGGATTCTCTTTGCAAGAACAGCTGAAAAATGCTCTGCCGCAAGATGATTTAAAAAAAATTTTTTTTTTTTTGAAAACCCAACCATCAACAAGCAATATGCAAATCTGAAGTTGAGCTTTCAAGTTTTTTGGAAAAAACCCATGTTTTCTGTCTGGCTCATCAGGAAGTGTAAATACCAGCCGTCTGCCTTTCGACCTGCTCATGAATCTAAGATTACCTAATGATTACAGAATCACCGAACGAGCATTTCACACGAATCCGCTGTGGCGCAACAGAAAAGAAAAAAAAAGAGCCCTTTCCTGTCGCATGATAAATGAAAAACAAAGTTTCCCCTAACAAAGATGAAGCGCAAATGAATATTTTAAAAACAACACGCACTAGTACCTCAGGATAATTTATGCACCAGCACATACTGCTTTCAAAAAAGCGAACCGCCTATGAGTCTAGTTTAACTGCCAAGTGTCATCGTCTGTGAATATTACACTACTCTGTCAAAGTGCAAACAGTTCTGCGAAGTATTCGAAAATAAAATGAAAAATCTAGCCCATTTACAAACTACAGCACACAAACACGTAAGCCAGAAAAAAAAAGATAGCGGCGCACGCCAGGGAAGCTCGTGCGATCGTGGGTTTTGTGCAATTCCGTCCACCGAACGATTACCTGCTAATCATTTCCATTGCTTTGTACTTTGTTCTGTGTAAAAATAGTTGAAATGTTGACTGGTGCCTAAGTTGCGGAATCTCCCATCAAAAATTTCGCACCGGTAGGTGAAAGCTGAATTTGAAACCCGAAGAGTGAATATTCTTTCACGATTTCAGTCTCTTCATTTTCCGGGTCTCAGATTTTTGTAAAAAAAATTTCTCATGGTTGTACGTGAGAACTCAGCATACTTAGGAAGTGAATTCGAGTTTGTGAAGTTTATGCTTAAGCAGGAAATATCTTCCTGGCATTTTCAGCGTCCCAGCTCTTTTGGCTCCCGAGGTAATGATTTTTTCAAAATCTCCGCAGCAAGGTTGAAAATTTACGGAGTCGCATGTGGGTAGGGGATGACACGCTAAAATTTCAGCTTTCTAGCTTTTGCAGTTTACGAATAATACTCCTGCCAAAACTTTCACGAGGCCGTATGTGGTATCCAGGGGAGCGTGAAGGCTGAATTCAAATCTGCTGAACCGCAGGTGGACAGGGGAATAGTCCCCTGAAATTTCAGCTTCCTAGATTCCGTGGTTCCCGAGATATAATTTATCCGTCAAAAGTTTCACGGGGCCGTACGTAATATCTGCAAGGACGGGAAGGCTGAATTTAAATCCGAGAAGTCGTACGTGGGCAGGGGACATATCGATAAATTTTCAGTTTCTTAAATTCCATGGTTCTCGAGATAACGATTTACTTGCCAGAAAGTTTTACAGAACCGTGTATGCTATCCGCGAGCGCGGGAAGGCTGGATTTAAATTTTCCACGTAGGCAGCGGACATACCCACAAAGTTTCAGCTCCCTGCCCCGTACCTGTTACCCGCGGATAAGGGGAGGCTGAATTTAAATTTGCGGGGTCACATGTGGGTGGGGAACATTCCTCAAAATTTCCTCCTAGCTTTTGTGATCGATGAGTTCAAAGTTGCAGACAAGTTGCTGCGGACACACACATACACCAGACAAACCCATGACAATATGCGTTTTGTGTAGCTGTTGCACAGCACAAAACGTAAAAAAACGGCAAATCTGCGGATGCACGTATGTGTTCCAGCACTGAAAAAAACGAGAAAGGGAAAAAGTCTCACAGCAGTGTGGAAACAGTCAGGCAACGCAGTTAAAAAATAAATTAATGGTGCAGCAAAGTAAGGACACA